AAACCTAAAAAAACCGCACATTTAAAAATTCTACATTTTGTGTTCCATATAAAAATGCTTAAACATGCATTGTTTCAATTCATTTTCTTTTGATTGCACTGTATATTTTGTGCTTACTTTCAACTTTTTCTGGTCTGACTGCAAACTGGAAGGTGATCTCAACACCATCTGTTACGTTGCCAATCTCTCGTACTAACCTATGATTATCCTCCTCATAGGGGAAGTACCTGCGTCAATCAGAGAAGACAGAGAAAAACAGAGACAGACGCTATGCAATGAGTGTATATTGCATATTTGTGTTTGCATGTATTTATGTGTGTTCGTGTGAGTGAAGGTTAGTAATGGATACTTACATGCCATCCGGTGCCAGCAGTGTTGCCATAACGCTAGTTGCTAGGACATTGTCAGCTATAGCGCTCTGAATCTCTGTGGCAACTGTACCAATATTTACAATATTTATCTGAAAAGTGGATGAAAAATACATAATTAGTTTTTAACATCTTGGCTTATATGTAATTTCGCAATTCATTCACTCCCCCCACCTACAATCCCTGCCGGTACGAGACTCAAACCCACAACCTTTGGGTTACGAGTCCAACTCTCTAACCATTAGGCCACGACTTCCCCAAAACCACCAGATTTTTGTGTTGTTGAAAGAAGTCTTTTATGCTCACCAAAGCTGCATTTCTTTGATCAAAAATATAATAAAGGCAATAATATTGCGAAGTATTATTACAATTGAAAATAACTGTGTTCTATTTTTATATATTTGAAAAGTAATTTATTTCTGTGATGAAAAGCTGCATTTTCAGCACCATTACTCTTCAGTGTCACGTGATCCTTCAGAAATCATTCTAATACGCCGATTTGCTCAAGAAATATTTCTCACTATTATCAATGTTGAAAACAGTTGTGCTGTTTAATGATATTGTGGAAACTGTGATACAAACAGAATTTATTTTAAATAAAAATCTTTTGTATGATTACAAATAAAAGTATAAATAAAAAAAAAACGTTCTGACCTAGGTACAAACTAATAAACTTGTGGTGCACACTACAGAGATGGATGACACTAAAGTGATTGATGTCTTGCAAACGTATGCACCAGTTTCCTATTATCATTGTTTCAAAGCCAAAACCCCTTTTCACATTCAAATGCAGCTGAAGGGGAAATACTGAACACAAAATAGTCCTTCCTTGTATGTGTGGGTGTCACTGGTGATAAGTATCAGTTTCTCTGAAATAAGCTTCAAGCTACATGCCTTAAACCCATTTAAAACAGATTAAGCTTCTACAGAGGGGTTTTATACACAAGGTTCAAGATGTGCTTGAAGTCTGCGATATAACAGATGTAGTGACAGACAGCTGCTGTGAGACGAAAATGTAGAGTGAAGGGGTCATGCTGAAAATGTGAGCATTTTTCACATAGTTTACAATGAGCTACAAGTGTGTGAGCCGTAACCGAAATAGAGAAAAACAACACCCTCAGGAGAAATGGATTGTTGCTGCAATCCTCATGTACCTCTAGGTTTCTCTAAAATAATCAGTCTTTACCATCTTATCTGATAATTGCAACATGACCCACACTCTTAAAAATAAAGGTGCTTCAAAAGGTTCTTCAAGTGATGCCATAGAAGAACCATTTTTGGTTTCACAAAGAACCATTCAGTCAAAGGTTCTTTAAAGAACCATCTCTTTCTTACCTTTTTATAATCTGAAGAACCTTCTTTCGCCCCAAAGAACCTTTTGTGAAACAGAAAGATTCTTCAGATGTTGAAGGTTCTTTATGGAACCATTTAGACAAAAAGGCTCTTCTATGGCATCGTGAAGCACCTTTATTTTTAAGAGTGCAGACTGCTAAACAAAAAGCAGTAACTCACTCTGCCTCCTGTGTGATCAGCCAACCTCCCAACCTCTGCCAAACGACAGTCCTCTCCTTCAAAGGTCATCACGGACACTATCACACTGTAAATAAACACAGCAACAGAAATCTATGACTTAATGACCGTACACTGGCATTGTACATTCACTGTTGTTCGCTAAAACCAGTGTTGTGCAAGCTACTCTAAAAAAGTTATCAATTATTAGCTTGTAATTACATCTTCAACAGTGTAGTTAGATTACTGTACTAATTACTCTCTCTAAAAATACTGCATTACTTCCTAAATCTAAAATCAGCCTCGAACAGTTTGACAATACAAGGATAGAAATGAAACGGCTCGTTTAATTCTTTCACATAAATAATATGAAACTGCATAAATTATTCTTGAACCAACAAAGGTATTTAAAGGGAGAAGGTTACATTAAAAAATACATTTTAACATTTTAATTGTTTTATACAAAATTGTTCTATACAGTATTTAATGCAATTACATCAGAAGTAACTGTAATTAAATTACAAAAAAATCATGAATAATCTCTCACTTTACTTTTTTGAGGGAAAAGTAATTAAATTACAGTGATTAATTACTTAGTAATGCATCACACCCCACACGGGGAGAAACTAACATAATATTTAGACAGAGATTTGTGTTTTGCAGTCGGCTCACCCTTTTTCAGCAGCATAATGGGCTAACTGGTTGTAAAAATAAGGCGAGGGGGTGGGGCAATGGGAAGACTCTTGATCTAATTGGCCTAAGCCTATGTTGGCCTGCCCATCTGTGCAAATTATAACCTGAAAAAAATTTAATAAAAAATACACAAATATATACACGTAATGTATAGCATCAGTATGCATCAGTAGCTAAAGCAAATATTTGTATAAATATGCAAAATAATATATGATAAGTGTCCTCTTCTAGACTATGGCTTAACTCAGTGAGTAGTGGTTTTATCATTGCAGCACATATTTATCATAACAAAACAGGTATATTTGTCAGAACACATAATTATGGTACAGACTTTTGACCCTGTGAACTGAGATGCCATGGCAACAGAGATGAGGGCAGCGGGTCCCAGTGCTGTGGCTCCATGCTCTCTGAGTCTGAGAAGAAGAAACCTTAATTTATCACACATTGAGACAGAGTACTAACATAATGACTTAACACTAAAATGTATTGCTTTTCTTTCTCTCCTTATTCTATATCAGGGGTGGCGAACGTCGGTCCTGGAGAGCTGCAGCCCTGCAGAGTTTTGCTTCAACCCTAATCAAACACACCTGAACAAGCTAATCAAGGTCTGAAGGGTTACTAGGAAGCTACAGGCAGGCAGGTGAGATTTTATTAGGGTTTGAGCTGAACTCTGCAGGCAGACAGATAGATAGACAGATAGATAGATAGATAGATAGATAGATAGATAGATAGATAGGCATTTATGCATTTAGTCATTTAGTCAGACAGACAGACAGACAGACAGACAGACAGACAGACAGACAGATAGATAGATAGATAGATAGATAGATAGATAGATAGATAGATAGATAGATAGATAGATAGATAGATAGATAGATAGATAGAGATATAGGACATTTAGATTACTCATGCCTTCATCTGCCTTCTAAAAGGTAATATTTAACAACAATGTTCAATGTAGTCAAGCAAAACTACAGCATTTTTATTTTAGATACAATATAGAATTTTACTAAGCATAACATAGAAGTCATTACTGAATTTGTTGAAATTGTTATTGGTTAACAAAATATCACTATAGAAAATTTATGGAAAAGTTTCACAATGGAAAAGTTTTTGGTGTTACTTTATAGGTTCTTCACATGGATGCATTATTTCTGGTTTCTTTTATAGCACTGGTATATGGTTTTCTATAGAAACAGGCACTTCTTTATAGAAATGGTTTTCCTGTGATTGGTTCTACATGGTTTAAAATAATGATGTAAAGCAATAAAGCTGTTTACAGCCTATGATATCTATGTTTATGCTGCCTTCAAAGGGACATGAATAGCCTCCCTAGTCATATTTGTGGGTTTTGAGCTCACTGTCTTTTTGAGTCTAGCCTTGGTTTTTTCTAACATATTTAAAGGGGTCATATGATGCGATTTCAATTTTTCCTTTCTCTTTGGAGTGTTACAAGCTCTTGGTGCATAAAGAAGATCTGTAAAGTTGTAAAGACTAAAGTCTCAAATCCAAAGAGATATTCTTTATAAAAGTTAAGAGTCAGCCACGCCTACCTAAAACGGCTCGTTCTAACACGCCCCCACATGTCTACGTCACTATGTGGGAAGATTTGCATAACGCCACCCAAATGTGCACGCAAAGAAAGAAGGCGTAACTTTTATTCTCGCTGTAGCCGCCGGCACCATGTTGTGGAGATGCTATATGCTGATATAAAGAGGATGATATCCGCTTCGTCATGCCTGGAGCTGATCCGTGCTGGTCGCTGAGGAAATACACCAACTTCGCGCTGTGGATCGCCGGATTGGCTTTCACCGTGGACGAAGTGGAGTCCAGCCCGGGGTCATCACATGTGGTTGCCGCAAGCTCCTTCGTCGAATCCTCTTGCCGTGCCGTTCTCAAGCCGGCCTCCGCTCACTCTAATCCTCCGTGTGTTACGCTGTTTCGTTGTGAAAGTGAAACTACTTTGTTTGGCCTTCCAAAAGAGGACACGACTAGAAATCAGTGGTTAAGTTGTATTTACAACACTGTTCCAGAACAGTTCAACCCAAATATTCAGATGTGTGCAATGGATTTTATGGAGGATTGTTTCCTGATCCTGATAGAGTAGACTACAATGCCGGCTGTTCTGACTCACAGACTGTAAGCACATTTTTTATATTTAAAGAATTTGCCACTGATGATTCAAACGCGAGTTTTAAGCAGTGTAGAGTAGCACTTGTTGTTTGTCATTTCTCCAATCACAAATGCAGACATGGTTTTATGTTTACGCGGCGCGATGCAACGCAACACGTAAAAAGACAGTATAAGTCATTACATCAGTAATTATGTTCCCACTGGATGCAACAAATGCCTCGTTTGTAATGGGTTTTATTGGTTTTGTCTGGTCGTGCCGGGAGATGGCATCAGAGTACAGTGAGGGGCGTAACACTTCGGTCACACGCTTGAGGTATTCGGCCAATCACAA